CATCGTTGCCCCCGCCCCCCGGGCCAGCCTTTGTCCCGGCCCGGCCGCCCCGCGCGCCTTTGTCTGCGCCCTGCGCGCGCGGCGCCCGCCGGCTCTGCGCCTTCCGCGTCGCTGTCTCTCCCTGCCCCGTGTGTCCCTCTGTCCCTCCCTCTGCCCGTCTTTATCTTTATTCCTCTATCCCTCTGTCTCTCGTCCTCTCGCTCCCTGCTCCATCCTCTCTGCCTGTGTTCCTGTCACACTCTGTCTCTCTGTCTGTCTCTGCCTCTTTCCCACTAGTTGTTTGCTCATTCTCACTCTGGCTCTTGCCATGTCTCTGACTCTTATCTTTGTCCAAAAGCACAGAACAAAAAAGCCCATCAGACACTCGTGTGGACACGACACACATAAGCCTAGGCAAGAAGACTCTGCTACATCCTGCAGTTAAAACACAGCGCTCATCTCTGCTGAGTCCAGCAGCTCCGCAGCGGTTTCCATCCTGGGGGTCCTATGCTCCTTAAGGTAGCTCCCCATAACATTCACCCTGATCCCAAGGGAACAGAGTTTGGGACACTCTCCTTTCCAGTGTCCTCCTACCCAGATGACTGGTCCCTGCTGTCCCTGGTGGGCTCTGTGTGCCTAATGGTTTCTATGGGACTAGGACCAGGACTGGGAAGAGTCCAGAGCAATTCTACCTGAAGATACAGATCCTCGCCAAGAGGGAGTAAGAGAGCCACATGGGCAGCTGGGCCCAGTGTTCTCCAATAAGCATAAACAGCAGGCAAGGAATACAAACAATGGTCAGGCAAGGGCAGCGTGTGACCATGACTGAACCCAGAGAGAGAAAAGGACGCTTTGCAGCCACAAAAACGCATACACCACCCCCCTTGACTAATGCCAACAAGTTCTACTTCTAATCAACAAACCTCATCAGAAATTGTCCCAGCCTACCCTTCGCTTCCGGATTTCCCTGACCTAGGAGTTCTGGTGGTCTTGTGGGTAAGGAGAGAGCTCTGGGGACTTAGTGGTAAGGAAATGCGCTGCCAACTCAAAGGTGCGTGGTTCAAATCCACCAGCTGCTCTGTGGGAGAAAGAGGGCAAACCTGTCTCCCTCCTCCAGGGTTCACTGCCTTCGAAAACTCACTGGAGGTCAGCTACGGGGTCACATCTGACTGACTTGATACACCACATGATGGGTAAGGGGTTGCCCTGCCAACTCAAAGGTGAATAGTTCAAATCCACCATCTCTTCCTTGAAAGAAAGATAGTCTCCTTCCATGTCATTTGCAGCCTCTGAAAACCTGATGGAGGGTCAGCTATGAGTCAGTTCTGAAGCTACAGCAAGAGTTTGTTTTGGGGCGGAGGGTTTGAGAGGACTTTGGCTACTCTCGACTCTTCTTCAAACTATCCAACCTAAGCTCGAATCTTTCAGGAAGCCTCCTGTAAATCTCTCTTACTGAGACACCCTCCGTTTCCCCAGCACATGGTCCTCCTTGTTAGAGCAGGCTAAAGAAAACCTAACTTTTTGGACCCCAGATGTGTTTCTGATAATCACTTGGGGGGGGGTGTCGAAGTCAGTTTTGATGCCACCAACTGCTAAGAGGACAAACAGATATGTCTTGGAGAAAGTGTAGCCAGAGGGCTCCTTAGCGGCTGGAATGGTGAAGCTTTCTTGTTCAGGTATGTTGCTTGGAGAGGCTATTCCTTGGCGAAGGACATCGTGTTTGGGAGGGTGGAGGGTAAGTGAAAGAGGAAGTCCTTCAACCAGATGGGCTGACATAGTAACTTCAACAATGGGCTCAAGTGTGTCGGAGGTGATGAGGGTGGTACTGGATAGACAGAGTTCAGATGTTTGTTCATGAATCATATGACTATGGCTCAATGGTCTTTACCAACAGCAACCTTCAAATGAGCTCTGGTGGCTTAGTGGTAAGGAGCTGTGCTGCCAACATGAAGGAACATGGTTCAAACCCACCAGCTGTTCTAC